GGACGTTTTAGATAGCTTGGGAGAGCTGATAGGAAGTGAATTTATAATTGCAATTAGAATTATTGAAATATTAAAAACAGCTTGATGACTCTCAAGAGTCAAGGGCCCTGTTTGGAAAGCACTTCTGTGACTGTGCATCCGCGGTTAAGCTTCAACGAGATCTTGTTGGCGAATGAAGAAAGTCAAGATGAATAATCCATTGCGCAACCAACTGCGGGGGGGATCTGCCCTTTGGAATGCCTCACCCCACCTCACTCTCCTTTACCTTCCCTTCTACTTTCTTTTTCCTCCAGTGACATATCACCAAAGAAGCTCCCCTGCTGGAGAAAAGTTCTTTGAATTTTTGAAACTATTTCCATGGCCTTTTTACAAAACGTAGTCATTATTCAGACAGGGACTTTTTCAGCAACTCCCTAATTTCAGTGGCTTAGCAAAGTAAACATTCAGACCGTCATCCGAGGCGGGTTGCTTGTGGGGTCAGTAGTGGGCAGTGTTCCACGTAGTGATATGGAAAACAGGCTCCTTCAATCTACGGAGTCCCTGGGGCCTCTGTTCTCCAGCCAGTGGGTGAGAGGGGACTGAGGACAGGAGGATGAAACACAAGTGACCGTGTGGGCAGATTCCAGCGACCTAGCCTGGAAGTGATGTGCGTTATTTCTGCCCACATTCATGGGACTCAAATCATACGGCCACATCTAACCACAGGGGCCTGACAAATGTGGTCTCATTGTGTGCCCAGGTGGAAAAGGAATTAGGACTTGGCTCTCTGCTGCCTTTGCTGCAGACAGAAAAATGCTTATTTAGAACTGGGCTTTTCTCCTGACACAGGTACCTGGGAACATTTTGAATGCCGGGATTTTTGACTCTCGATATTTCAAATTGGGTGGGTCCGAGTCATGACTAATGGGGCTGAATCCTTATTGAATAAGAGTTTATTTTGCAGTTAACAAAGCAGTTTCTGTGAGGTATATGCATTAACATATATATTACTCCCGAAGACACTGGATTTATAGTCTCTTCCCACTCCTGGGACTTCTTGCGAAGGCACACCCATAGTCAGAACTGTGATGCAAGTCATTTGCATGTCCCTGCAGCTTGGACAGTGGACGGTTGTGGCTGTCCTGAGTGGCAGTGTTTGGTGGGCTGGTCCCAGGCAGTGCCCTGGAAAGGTGGCAGGATCTCAAAGAGATTACTTACTGTGTGCTTTGGGGGGAGGGAGTTGAACCTAAGGCTTCAGATGTACACACTTAGGGGACCCTTGTGCCTCAAAGCAGAGGGTCCGTGGACTTGACGGGACGGTGGCAGGTGTGGAGATTGGAGAGTGGAACCCGTACAGACCAGGGCTGCGAGGTGAGAGAATGGAAGCATCGGGCATCTTTTCTTACATGTAGTTTTCATAAGACCTATGTTTTCCTGTATGGCCCTAACATGGATTGGAGGGGCCTGAAATAACGGCATATTAAATTACCAGCCAGTCTTGCTGGATACGACCGTGATAGCAGAAATCTTTTTGTAGAAAGAAAGTAAAGAAGTAAAATAATTTCTTGTTACTCAAGATAGCGGCAGCAAATTCCTGCCTTACAGCCAAAGGGCCCTCGTGCAGCGGATGTTAGTGGAGAGAGATCTCTGAAAGAGAGAAGGCGCGGAGGGTAGTGGGCAGCCGTGGGCGGGCCTGGGGAGCGTGCCATGACAGCGAAGGGTCCCCTGGGGCTCTGGAGACCTTTCTGAGCGCCCAGCAGGTCAAAACTCTCTTCCTCATGATACTGAGACCTGATCGGCATTTTTCACCTTCATCTCCTGTTCTGTGAGTAGGCAGAGGAGTTTTCCGCAGGCAACACATCAAATAAGAAACAGATAGGAGCCTCCACCTTTCTATTAAGGCAGGCACGAAAGAGATTTGCAAAAATGTAAAACTTCCTTCTCACGAAGTTATTTTTTTTTGTTTCAGAGTGATTCTTTTTCATAAAATGTGTTATTTATGTTCGCATGCTTTTAATGCTATTTAAAAAAGAAGTCATCAGTAAATATTATTTTTAAATCTCAGTTTTAATTTTGAATAGAGTAAATATTGATAGCTATAACCCCCATTTCATCCTGACCAGCATGGCTCAGTTGGTTGGGCCTCATCCCATAACGTGAAAGATCGCAGGTTCAGTGCTAGACTGGGGCACATGCCTGGGTTTCTAGCCTGGTCTCTGGTGGGGGTGTACTTGAGGCAACCGACTGATGTTTCTCTCTCTCACTTCAATGTTTCTCTCCCTCTCTTTCTCCCAACCTTCCTCCCTCTCTAATAAATAAATAAATAAAATCTTTAAAAATATATAACTCATGTTTTAAACATCTGTGTAAGGTCCTCAATTATTTTTAAGAGCGTAAAGATGTCCTTACACCAAAACTTTTGAGAATCCTATACTAGAGAATTCCATTAGAGCTGAGAAAAACAAAATTCTGCCATTTGTGGTCACGTAACTTCAGAGAATGTGGAACGTTAGAGGGTAGAGTGTCCTTTCGAGAGAAATTCAGGAGAGCAGTAGCAGTTAGCTAGGGGTTGCTGGGGCAGGTGGCCCCTGGCGAGATAACTAAATTTTAGTAACACTCTGTACAGCAACTCGTAAACCTAAAAAAAGTTGCAATGCTGCCATCTAGTGGTCCATATGAAAATAATTTAATATATATTTTTCACTGAGGTTATGATGATTGCTTCAGAACTGAATGAATGTAGGGACCCAGTTCAGTAGTGTGCCCTGCATTTTTTATATTTATATCTCCAAGCATGTACCTTTAAATGCCTCCCATCATTTCCTTTTATATTAACACCTTTCCTCTTGGGGTTAGGATAACCAGAGGGTGAGATTTCAGCCTAGTTACACCTCATTTCAATCTTGTGTTCCTGTCATGACAGTGTAGGATAATTTAGTGCGACTTGAGGAACTGAAAAAGTAACTTTTCTCACTTTGATTTTGCCTAACTCCTCTCTTTATGAGCATTTAAAGAAATGAACTTTTAATTGTGGATCTTTTCTGGAGATACAGGAAAGTTGCAAAGACAGTACAGTGAGTTCCTGTGGGACCCTCCCCCAGTTTCCCTGTGGCCAACATTCCGCATCACTGTGGAACACACGCCGAGTGCCTGGATGAGTCCCACATCAAGCCACAAGACTGTGAAACTTCAGAAAGAGAGGCTTGGGGAACACAACACAGGTCGCACAGAAAAGATCAGGACTTGGATTGTCATCCCTCTTTGTGATAGCTGCATTGGAAGCTAGAAAGCCATGAATCAGTGCTTTCAAGTTTCTAAGTGAAAATGCTCTCCATCATCAAATGCCATAATACACAAATACATAGCAAGTGTGATGTTAGGATAGAGACAATTCTAGAACTACAGGGTTTCAAAAAGTGCACCTTTCACACCCCTTCTTTCAGAAAGTTATTTGAGGATTTGCTTCTCTGAAAAGGAAGGAGAAACAAAGAGGGAGAAAGCTCAGGAGACAGGGAAGGAGGTAGCAGGTTATGGAGCTAGCTTGTCGGCCGCCTAAAAGCAAACTGTGCAGAATGGAGCAGGAAAACAGAGGGGTTTGAACAATGTGGGGGTGTATACTCTGGTCAGAGTGTCTGGGGATCAATTAGTTACAGGTATGGAAAAATTAAATATAAAAACCAGATAGTTGATTAACCCTGGGGAAAGTAAAAAGTTGCATGTAAGCAACTTGTACTTACTTACATGCAACTTTTTATGCATGGCTGAATTTTGAACCATATATAGTCATAGGAATGTAAATAACAAATATTTACTTAAACTGAAAAGGTCATTTTATCCTGTTCAGTGGATGAAAGAGAGAGAGAGAGAGAGAAAATGAACTAGGATTTTCTACTCCTATATCTAGAAGTCAGTAATCATAATCTAAAATCTAAAAACAAATTAAAAGCATCATCGCATTATTAAAACCATGTCGAATTAAACACAGTATTCTCTCCTTATCCATAGTTTTACTTTGTGAGGTTTCAGTTAGTTGCAGTCAACCATGGCCTGAAAATATTAGGTGAGAAAATTCCAAAGTAAACAATTCATAAGTTTTAGGTTGCACACCTAAGTAGCATAAAAAATTCTTGCAACGTCAGACTCTGTCTTGCCCAAGACCCGACTCACCCCCTTGCCCGGCGTTGGAGGGCCTCTCTAATCACAGGTTTGCAGATCAATTGTCATGGTGTTTCAATGCTTGTGTTCCGGCAGCCCTTGTTTTACTTAAAAATGGCCCCGAGAGCAAGAGTAGCTTAATGCTACGTCGCGGTGCCCATGCTGGTCACTTCTTCCCATCACGTGGACTTTGCGTCGTCTCACATCACCGCAAGGAGAAAGGTGAGAACAGTACAGTAAAGTATTTTAAGACAGAGCACGTTCACATACTGTTATTGCGGTATATTGTTAAAATTGTTCTATTTCATCATTCGTTATTGTTCTTAGTATCTCACTGTGCCTAATTTATAAATTAAGCTTTGTCATAGGTATACGTGTGTATGGTACACACAGGTTTCAGGCATCCCCACGGCGTCTTGGAATGTATTTCCCTCACATGTATTAAGGGCGGCTCCTGTACCGGAAGAAATAGTTGAGAGTAGTTACTGCTAAGGAGCGTCGATTAGGAATTGGGAGGGATTGTTTGAGGAAAATTCTAGAAGGATTGTGTGGCTTTAAAATTGCCTATGCATTTCGTTCACAGGCAAAAAGCCAGATGAATGGGTGACCTGCCAAAGCAGGGATGTGGTCGTACCCAGCCCGCAGGCTCTGTTAGGAGGAGCAGGGAGTGTTGCCTAGAGGAAAAGGGCATTGGCTGGCATGCTCGCCTGGTCCAAAGTCTCCACCTTATTAAGGTCATGGCCAGTCAGATGGGAATCTTTAATCGGACCCTGTCTTATTTGCATACACAGTTGCGTTCTGTGACTCCTGACGAGGGTGAGGGTTTAGCTGCTGTTGCCACAGTGGCTGGGCTGCTCTGACTGAAGGACAGCGTTCCCTTCAGCGAGTGTTCCGTGTGCCCCGCTGTCCTCCTGCACCCATGGCTTTCCCTGCAGGCTTTGGCTGGGGGGCGGCCACCGCAGCGTATCAGGTGGAAGGTAGGAGAAGCTCCTTCCCTTTTGCAGGGCTGGGATGAGGTATTTCTGGAGGGTTCTGTGTGTCTCGGGAAGAGGGTGGGTGAGGAGGCAGAAAGAGAAGAAAGAAGAGGGTTGCAGAGCCTCTCACTGTGGAAATGAAACTGCATCCCACGTCACACAGAAGGGGCTCACATTCTGTGACCCTTTGCTGAGGCCTGGCAGGGGGCAGGTGGTGAGGGCTGAACACCAAGCTTCCGCGGTCTTTCCTGTCAGTTCAAGCGTCCCTCAGACATCGGTTTATGTCCACTGGCAGCTCTGGGCATTGGTCCTTGGTTTCTTCAACACATTTGTGCCAAGGCCCCCCAAAATAACAGTTTTCCTATTGGCTGGGACAATATTGAGTAATTGAAGAGGCTGTCCCTCTAGGAATGAAAATCAGGAGAGGCAACTAGGAGAGAGGTCAGGCAGATCAGAGAGGGGACCACACAGAGGAGCAGGGACAGAGCCGGAGTAAAGTGAAGAGAATCAGGTTCCAGAAGAAGCATAGCATGGCTCCTATGATGATGGGCTCTGGAGCCAGACTCCCTAGATGTGAAGCCCTAGCCCCATGTTTTTGTTTTTTTTTTTAATTCTCACCCAAGGATAAGTTCATTGATTGGAGAGAGAGAAAGAGAGACATCAAAAGATGTCGATGTGAGAGAGAAACCTCTATTAGTTGCCTCAGACATGCTATTGTGCTGCTTACTCTCTATCAACAGCTTCTAGGGAGGGGAACTTGAGCCAACGTGCCTGCTCTCTTTGTTAACTCACACAGCGACTTCTCTGTGTTCACTCTTTTCCAACTCTTATCTATCCTTTTGTGCTGGGCCTGAATCCCAGTTCAAGCACTAACTATCTGAGTGGCTGTGGGCAAATAACTTATTTGTCTCAGTTTCCTTATTTGTAAAATTAGGGAAATGGTCATGGCCACCTTGTAGGTTTGTTCTGGAGATTAAACCAGTTAGTATACGTAACTGGAGCACAAGAGTGCCTGGCACATAGTCCCAGTAAACAACAAAACAACACTATTATTATTAACACTGGTACTACTGTTACTACTACTACTACTAATATTATTACTGTTGTTCTTTTTCCTGGCTAGATTCTTTCCTACTCTGCACTGTCAGGTGAGTTATTTGTCTGCTCTATTTAGTGAAAATGCTCATTTCTACTTTGAACCACAAATAAGAGTATCTCCTTCCTTGCTCATTCTACCAGCAGCTGCTGGGAGAGCTGCTGTTTAAATACCCTTCCACGGTTGCACAGACTACACATGCAGGACATCGACATGTGGCTTTGTTAAATCAATGCAGCCTGGGAATTACTGAGAATCTTTGAGCTTTTGGGCTGCCTTGGCCTCGGAGAGCCTTTGGAGGTTCCAGGCACTCAGCAGAACTGAACATGAATTGTACTTGTTGAAGAAAAAGAAATATAAAGTTTTGGTGATTTGTTATAATAATGTGTTATAAAACATTACCACGCATGTCTTTCCACTGATTTTTCAAAACACAGTTGTCTGTGTAGGTATGTTTGTTTGCAAAGATACCCTCTCAAGGGCCCTGAGTGGTAACTAGCATTCTCCGCCGCTTCCCCGCTCACCTGTATACCCACACCGCACCCCTGCCCGGAACTGGAGTTGCCTGGGCTCTGTCATTTGGCAGAGAAGGCACTGTCAGCGTCTTTGCAGGTGGGGCTGGCTGAAAGGGACGGGACAGGGCCTTCTGATCTCCTGGTGCCCTAACATCCTGACTACTTGGTTGCATATTTCCCCAGACCCAGGGCTCTTCTTCCTTCTTCCCGTCTTGGCTCATATCCTTTCTACCACCACGCAGGTGACTTCCCTGTTTACAGTTTTAAAGATTCGTTTAATGCCATGTTTATTATATAAGAGTTCTGTGTGGTACCTTGAGCCTTGTGGAGGAAAGCCCTCTGTAAATCTAGTAAGTACTAAACTAGCGGTATAAGCAGGAGGAAAATTATATGTTTTAGGTGGGTTGTGAAAAACATTGTAAAACCTGTAAAAATGTATTTCTTAGATTAGGAGAAAGTGCAGATAATTATCATTTACAGAAGTGAATCTCATGTGATATTTCAAAATACAGAAAAATTCCCATAATTTTTATCCCTTTGCAAAGGTGACTCTGTTTCTGGCGGGAGGGGAGATGGGGCACAAAACAGCAAGTAGCTCAGTGGCATCCTATTTACTTTCTCCTTGGCAAGCCACGGAGGAGCTATGAAAATGACATTTGGGACCCAACTCCGCAGCCCTTGTGAGCTTATAACTCCCAGCGATGTCAGGAATGGCCCCTCAGGGTGAAAATGCTCTGCAGACCCCCACAAATTCCAAACAAAGTCTCAGCTACTCTGTGAGCCCTTCCTGGTGGGACCTGGGCTTGTGGTTCCTAAGGAAGCGAAGTCCTCAGTTTTATGAATGCCATTATCAACCTCGATGCCACAATGGGTACTAATAAAACATTGGGATTTGATTGAAGTTTGACTTTGGCTTTACGTTGGTAGAACTTGGGACTGACTTCAGACTTTGGCCATTTATCAATCTTGGTGTGTCAAAGATGAAATTCTATGTTAAGAAATTTGGGGTTAATTTTGCACTGAAAAAAATGGGAGAAGTAAGGGGGCAACTGAAGTGGTTGGTTTTAGGTCCAGTCTATGGTGATGCTATCGAGGCTGTTTCCTCCTTGGTACCTTTTCAAAACTCAGTTGGCCCCCATGAATCTGCGCTGGAGGCGCATTTTGCCTGACTGTGGGAGCTTTCAGCACAGCCTCCCTGTTACTTTAGACCCCCTCCTGCTTGCTTTTTCCGTTCAGCCAATTTTGGCTGTGGAGCCTGGTTCCTCTACCCTGCTAAGCCTCTTGGATTAAACATCCCAGTTTGGAGCTTGGTGTTTTGGCTACCCTCGGTAGACTTCTAGAACAGGGCTCACTTATTCTTTGAACGACCTAAGAAAGGAGGGAAAATAGACTACAAGTGTGGGAGGCAGGGGAAAGAAAGAAGGGAGGTCAACACTTTTCCATAAAATTTCTCATAGCTTTAAAGTTGCTATGACAGAGATCACCCTCATTTCTTTTCTTCGGCTTCAAATGTGAGATCCACAAAAAAAAAAAAAAAACAAAACAGCCCTCAAATATTGCCCCCTTTTTTGATTGTACAATGAAATTACGTGGCTTCATTGAAAGAGAATGGGCTAAGACAGGGATGATATTCAATATTCGTCAACTGATACAATCACCAGCCAGATGCTAACTGTAAACAATAGGTGTAGATTCGATGGGCATCTGTCTTGATTAATGAGAATAGATGCCCTCTGGGAACAACCAGTCTGGGACGGACTAGCATCTTCCTTGGCCATTCAGAGGAGAGGCCAGCTGTAAACAACTGTCATGACCAGGCTGGCACCTATATTAACTTACCAGTGTGGGTGCCAGCTCTAAACAGCCGTTAGGGCCACACTTCCATATGCTGATTGAATTTAAGCCTTGGGCTTTTGAGCAGAACACATCTGGAATATTCCAACTCTATCTGTGGACCACTGGAGAGTTAAGTGACTTCTCCAGGCCTCAGATTTCTCACCTGTAAAGTTTCTAATGCTGATGTCTCTCTTTTTTTTAAAATGTTATTGGGTGAATATTGGAGAACTTCATCTTACATATTTTGCTTCTTTGAAAATTTGATTCCCTTATCTTCCAGGTTATTAATTTGGACTTTTGATTCATTCATTCTGTTTTTCAACCCCTCTATTGAATATTTAATTGTGGCAATCATAATTTTAGGTTTTAGGAAGTCATTCTTATTCTTAATTGCTTCATTTTTAGGAAGATATGTTTTGTTTTCAGGATGCAGTCACCACACAAATATTTTTAAGAATGCTAGTTTGAAAAACACATTTTCTTTCTTTTGCAATTCTTTTTTAATGATATTTCTTTGAGCTCTTTGGGTTATTTGTTTATTTAGGTCTTTGTCTTTCATGCTTTTTTTTTTTTTTTTGGTCAAAGGTATGGCCATTCTTGAGTGCCTGTCCATATTTATGAATGAGAGAATATGTTGAATTCTATTTGCAACTGAGCTAGGCTTCCTTTGAAGTTAGATAATTCTATTGAACTGAAATAGGACTCACTCTAGAAAAAGCAGGGTTCTGTGCAAGTGGGTGGGAACCTATGGGTAGTCAGTCTTCTCATGACAGGACAATGTGTATGAGTGAGGAAGCCAAGACTTAGACTTCAGCAACTGCCAGACAAGGAGGACTTCAAGGAAGGATGTTTACGATTTTTACTTTTATGTTTTCTTTATCCACTGCACTTCAAGTTCACATTCAGCTCCAGAGTTCTACTTTTATTGACTTGCTCAGTAGCATTCTACCCTTCTTAGGAATCCATCCCAGTCACATCTCTCACTTTTATGAAGCATGTCTTGGGACTTGGACATGGGGCAAAGGCAGCACCAACTGCTCTGATTATTGGGGAGAGGAATCAGTCAGGCCAGCATGTGATAGGACAGATAATCGTTTCATTAATTACTGTGACCATTGCTCTGCTCTGCTCTCTGCATTGGCTGATGCACAGATTCACCAGGGGAACACCTCTTAATCCTTACAGGTCACCTTAAGTGTGTGAGTTTCTCTTGTAATTCTTTGTTTTAGTTTCTCAGACAATTCAGTCCTATTTTCTCTCAATTATCTAGATATTATTTAATAAACGTTTCTACTGGAACTTTATTTTTTTGTTTTCAGCTTTGTTGCGGATTCTTTAAAAAAATTACTGCCATTTCAATGGAGTTGTGAGAGGAAGAAGAATGAAATACGTGTACTTTGTTCCCCATCTTGAACTGGAGGTCTTCATTAATACATGTTAATATAGGGAAGTGCCTCATAAACTGTGAAGTATTATTGAAAGTTAACAACTGAATCCTCCCCCCTCTTCTTACCATTATCCTCCTCCTCATCACCTCTACCATGTCCAATCTCTGG